TGAGGGTTTGGCTTGCCCATCTGCCAAGTGGACACACCAATCACACTGTACTATTGTAATGCTTAATTGATATCATGAATATTAAATATTGTCAAGTGGTATGCAAAGATTAATGGTTAAAATCAATAATAGCATGTACTTAGCCAGTAACATTATTTTAATTCTGGGCAAAATATCTGTAAGGCATTTTCTCCTTCCATTCTGCAAATTCAATATCATATTTCATTCATTTTGACACTTTTTTCCACATTTAACATATCTAAAATTGATAGGTATCTTAAAATCACTTTTGCTCAGGGAGCAGTCATGCCATATTTGTAACTATGTGTACATGCCTCCAAGTGTGAAGAATGGGTATCAGCATCTTAAAGAAAACCCTGGAGACAGATAATAATGGATACTCATTTAAGAAATGATACATCATTGCCAAACTGGTTTGGCTCAGTGGATAGAGCATCGGCCTGCGGACTGAAGGGTCCCAGGTTCGATTCCGGTCAAGGACATGTACCTTGGTTGCGGGCACATCCCCAGTAAAATAAAATAATATTTTATTGATTTTGTACAGAGAGGAAGGGAGAGAGATAGAGAGTCAGAAACATCGATGAGAGAGAAACATCGACCAGCTGCCTCCTGCACACCTCCTACTGGGGATGTGCCCGCAACCTAGGTACATGCCCTTGACCGGAATCGAACCTGGGACCCTTCAGTCCGCAGGCCGACGCTCTATCCACTGAGCCAAACCGGTTTCGGCTAAAATATATTTTTTTAAAAAAGAAATGATACATCATTAATGTTCATAACAGAGAACGGTATGTGGTAAAATATGGACATCAAGAAAGTGAATTAGAAGAGTTAAAGACTCTGAATGTGAAGAAGTTTTAAGAGCATCTCAACTAATTTTGCTTATATATTTTTTTATATATGTACTAGGGGGATACATAATTTCTTTAGAAAAGGACTTTGATTTCATTGGTCCCCCCAGTGATATTAGTTTGGTCACTGATGTTTTAATAAAGAGCATGATTTCTGACCTATTCTATTCCATATTTGTTATAGAGTGCTAACTACATTGCCAGGTATCAAATGAGGCACTAGAGATAGCATCTTATATAATAAAGAGGTAATATGCAAATTAACCCTCACGCCATCACAAGATGGCTGTGCCCACAGCAGAGGCAGGGTTCCTGTAACATAAGATGACTGTGTTACAGCGGACACAGCGGAGGTGGGGTTCCCGTAATGAGCCATAACAAGCGATCAGCAGGGACCTGACAAAGCCGGGCTGGGGCACCTCAGGTCTGCCCCCTGCCCCGGTGCCAGGCTGGGGCACCTCAGGCCGCACCCCCCATCTGGCAGGGCTTGACGGGAGACCTCAGGCTCGGGAGGGGGGTGGAGGGGAGGGGGGACTTCAGGCCACGCCCCCTGCCCCGTGGGTCTTGACGGGGGACTTCAAAGCACCCCCCCACCCCAGTCCGAATCAGGGGACCTCAGGCCACGCCCTCTGCCCCGGCGCCAGGCCAGGGAACCTGAGGCTGTGCCCCCCA